AAGATTTAGGTGTATGTATTGATGTGTGTGTGTATGTATGTATGTGTGTGTATTTTACATGTGAGTGTAAATGTGTGGTTGTGGGTGTCTGTACATGTGATTGTATGTGTGTGTATGCATGCATGCATGTATAGGTGTGTATGTATGTAATATGTGTGTGAATATATGTCCAGATATGTATGTGTTTTTTTTTTCTGTTTGTGTATATATGTAGATGCGTTTATGTATGTATGTGTGTATGTATTAGGTATGTCTGTATATGAGTGTGCATGTATGAGAATGTAAAAGTATATATATGTGTGTGTGAGTGTGTAAGATTGTGTACACATGGTGTGTGTATGCATTATTCTATAATGCATATTGCTTTATTAAATCCATAACATGCATTACTGATAACAGGCATTGGTACTCTGAAAAATGAGTACTTAGAAAGGCCGAATGTCAGACGGGCCTGGATGCCCAATTTGTAATCCTTTGAAAAAAAGTTCATTCGTACGTTCTATCTATCTATCTATCTATCTATCTATCTATCTATCTATCTATCTATCTATCTATCTATCTATCTATCTATCTATCTATCTATCTATCTATCTATCTATCTATCTATCTATCTATCTATCTAATCTATCTATCTATCTATCTATCTATCTATCTATCTATCTATCTATCTATCTATCTATCTATCTATCTATCTATCTATCTATCTATCTATCTATCTATCTATCTATCTATCTATCTATCTATCTATCTATCTATCTATCTATCTATCTATCTATCTATCTATCTATCTAGTGTTTCAGCATCCTGTTTTAATATCGTTGTTTTCATTATATTCACCCCCCCCCCTTCCCCCGTATCTTAGTAGTCGAGCCTGTGATGGCAAATTTGCTGATTCATCTGGTTTTCTGTGCCTGTTGTTGTTGAGCAGAACAATCTCATCAGCCAAATCAAAATATGCTATCTCTAATCTTCTTTTCAACAATTTGTCAGCACATTCTTGTTAGCCATTCCCCCCTCCAGTATCAACTTGTTGACTGTTGAATGTCTGTCTGTCTGTCTGTCTGTCTGTCTGTCTGTCTGTCTGTCTGTCTGTCTGTCTGTCTGTCTGTCTGTCTGTCTGTCTGTCTGTCTGTCTGTCTGTCTGTCTGTCTGTCTGTCTGTCTGTCTGTCTGTCTGTCTGTCTGTCTGTCTGTCTGTGTGAGTGTCTGTCTGTCTGTGTGTGTGAGTGTGTGTGTATTATGTATGTATGTAAGTATGTATGTATGTATGTATGTAAGTATGTATGTATGTATGTATGTATGTATGTATGTATGTATGTATGTATGTATGTATGTATGTATGTATGTATGTATGTATGTATGTATGTATGTATGTATGTATGTATGTATGTATGTATGTATGTATGTATGTATTAGGGCTGTACCAAAAGTGACTTTTACTATTCAGCCGAATACGAATAGTGTATCTCATCATCAGGTGCCTTGCCGACCGGCGTGGGCGATTATGCCTCCCCACAATCTGCGATCTCATGCAGCAGATATTAGTTCGTGCGCTGACACACCTTCATGATGACTGTCTCCTTCTGACGTTTGTGATTAGTTGCTGTCCAAGGTATTTAAAGCATTGTTCTGTAAAACCAAATCTCTGAGGCCTCAAGAAATTGTTAGGCCTGGCACCGATTGTCCAGGACTCACAACTCATTGCCTTTAAATATAAGTGCTTACTTGACGAAACTAACAGTGACTATTGTACAGACCACATTTTTCACTTAAAAATTTCAACTAAAATGTAATCACAACCTTACTTATCCGCTGCACCTTCACGAATACAGATGGAGGATCGGTCGTACCTCGAGATAAATACAAAGACAATTTTTAGCACGCTGCGGTTGGCATTGTATGCAGTATGACACACTTTGAGTGTGAAACAAGAGGGACAGGATTGTCAGGATAATGTCATCACCATATAGATCCCACCAGGTGACTGTCAGGACAGTGCAGTCATCATGCAGTTGACCTTATGGGACTCAGGGGACAGGGTAGTCATCATATGATTTATACTAGGGGACTCTGGGGACGGTCCAGTCGTCATGTAGTAAACAGTAAGGGACTCTTGAGATAGTGCAGTCATCTTGTAGTTTACCCAGGGGAATCTGGGGACGTTATCATTATGTAGTTTACCCAGGGGATTCTGGGGACGTTATCATTATGTAGTTTACCCAGGGGATTCTGGGGACGTTATCATTATGTAGTTTACCCAGGGGAATCTGGGGACGTTATCATTATGTAGTTTACCCAGGGGATTCTGGGGACGTTATCATTATGTAGTTTACCCAGTGGATTCTGGGGACGTTATCATTATGTAGTTTACCCAGTGGATTCTGGGGACGTTATCATTATGTAGTTTACCCAGTGGATTTTGGGGACGTTATCATTATGTAGTTTACCCAGTGGATTCTGGGGACGTTATTATTATGTAGTTTACACTACGGGATTCTGGGGACGTTATCATTATGTAGTTTACACTAGAGGACTCAGGGGAGAGAACAGTCATCTTGTAGTTTAAACTATGAGAGAGTACACGCCCCCATTAGCACTGGCTAGCACATTTTTTGGGCTACAGTCTATTGAGCCTCCTCTGATGGATTCTTTAGGACTGAACTCAGCGCGCCTCATGTTCTGATATGGTCTGGGGACTGAACTCAGCGCGCCTCATGTTCTGATATGGTCTGGGGACTGAACTCAGCGCGCCTCATGTTCTGATATGGTCTGGTGTAGACAGGGTTGCTTACGTTAGTCTGCCATACCATTTCGGCTTCTTCCCCGAACTCTGAAAGTAAAAGCGACGGGTTTGTTATTGATCGCGGTACCGTCGAGTACCTTATTGTTCCACAAAGTGGATTAAATGTCCAGTTGAAGGCGATGTTTGTGATGATAATGCTGACGGAGGAGGAAGTGGAGGCGATGATGATTACGAAGAAGAAGAAGAAGAAGTCTGAAACGTACCTCCAACATACCCCGAAGTTGCCATGAAAATACCAATGACACATCATGAAAATGCATGAACATACCCTGGTGTTGGCTGTCACAAATTGAAGTCTGTTATCTTGTTTCAGATATCCGAGAGTCTGCCTTCGTCTACGCCATTACTGCTGCTGGGGTGACCTACGCGGTGACACAGGCTTGTAGCATGGGAACCTTGCTGCAGTGTACCTGTGATCAGAACGCGCGAGACATGAGCAACGACGGCGAGTGGGAGTGGGGCGGCTGTGGGGACAATGTGGAGTATGGGTACCGGAAGTCCAAGGACTTTATGGATGCCCGGAAACGGAAACGGCTGGGAGACTTCACTACCAAGATTCAGCTGCACAACAACGAAGCTGGCAGAGTGGTGAGTCTTTGTTGTTGTCGCAACAGAATGTTGATAATTTCTTGTTGTCACGGCAGAAGGGTGGGATTTCCTGTCTAGTCAGAGCAGTAGGAGTTTCTTGTTGTCACGGCAGAGTAGTGGGAGTTTCTTGTTGTCACGGCAGAGTAGTGGGAGTTTCTTGTTGTCACGGCAGAGCAGTGGGAGTTTCTTGTTTTCACGGCAGAGTAGTGGGAGATTGTTGTTGTTACAGCAGAGTGGTGGGAGATTGATGTTGTTATTGCAGAATGGTGAGAGCTTGTTTTCACGGCAGCATTGTAATTGAGGGGGGGAGTGGAAAAAAAAAAGGGGGGGGGGGGGTTCCCGGCAGATTTTGCGAGCTTTTTGTGGTCTCGGCATGGTTGTGGGAGTTATTTGTTGCCATGGCAGAATGTTTAAGTTGGTTGTCATGCAGAAGGGTGGGACTTCGTTGTTGTCACAGCAGAGTGGTAAGAGTTCGTTGTTGTGGTGGGTCTTTCATAAACTTTCTATGTGTCATTGCTCTACAGTCTACTTTCTATGTTTTATTGCTCTACAATTTAATCTTTATGTGTCATTCATCTACAGTCTACTTTTTATGTTTTATTGCTCTACAATTGAATCTTTATGTGTCATTCATCTACAGTCTACTTTTTATGTTTTATTGCTCTACAATTGAATCTTTATGTGTTATTGCTCTACAGTCTACTTTCTATGTTTTAGTGCTCTACAATTTTATCTTTATGTGTTATTGCTCTACAGTCTACTTTCTATGTTTTATTGCTCTACAATTTTATCTTTATGTGTTATTGCTCTACAGTCTACTTTCTATGTTTTAGTGCTCTACAATTTAATCTGTGTGTCATTGCTCTACAGTCTGTTCTATATGTTTCATTTTTCTACAACCTACTGTATATTTTTCATTGCCCTACGATCTGATCTATATGATTCATTGCTCTACAAGCAACTCTATTGGTGTCACTGCTTTCAAATATATACTTTTCATCGCTCCTAAACCTACTCTATACGTTTAATTTCTCTAAGATCTACATTGTACTTTTCATTTCTCTACGATCTATACGTTTCATTGTTCTACAGTCTATACGTTTAATTGCTCTGCAATCTACTCTATACGTTGTTCTATATGTTGACAGGCTGTCAAGAACTACATGAGGAAAGAATGCAAGTGCCACGGTCTGTCTGGTTCCTGCGCCCTGAAAACTTGCTGGAAGAAAATGCCGCCTTTCAGAGATGTTGGCAGCCGCTTGAAGGAACGCTTCGATGGCGCCATCCGGGTCATTATCTCCAACGATGGTAAGAACATCATCCCTGACGGAGTGACCATCAAGCCCCCGTCCCAGCAAGACCTGGTCTACTCCGACCCGTCCCCAGATTTCTGCAAGAGGAGCAAAAAGGTCGGCTCCCTGGGTACTAAAGGTCGCGAATGCGACCCGGACTCCATGGGCGTGGGAGGTTGTGATTTGCTGTGCTGCAATCGAGGCTATTCCAAGACACAGGTCAAAGTTCGCGAGAACTGCAAGTGTCGATTCATGTGGTGTTGTGAGGTGATCTGCGAGACTTGCGAGAGCACTAAGATAGTCCACCAGTGCTTGTAACCCTCAATTCTCAACACGTCATGAGCATTTTCGGGTGCACAAACACTTTGGTTCTTCCAGTACTATTTTTTGTCAACATCTTCAACTGTGCTTACGTTGAATGGATTTTCTGTTTACTGAATAATTTCAATAAACATGTAACACCTCAACAAGTGCACATCAACAGCGCAGGCTGAACAGTTTGGTTCAATTAGCCAAAAACGCTTTTGTCACTGCCACTGTAAAGACATTTTAATTTTAATTCCTGGTGACAAACTCTTCTGCTCAAATATGAAAACAATATACCCAAATCTCTTTGCGTCTAGTATGGACATACCCTGGTCAGCATGTATGGACACACCCTGGTCAGTGTGTATGGACATACCCTGGTCAGTGTGTATGGACATACCTTGGTCAGCATGTATGGACATACCTTGGGCAGCATGTATGGACATACCCTGGTCAGCATGTATGGACATACCTTGGTCAGCATGTATGGACATACCCTGGTCAGCATGTATGAACATACCTTGGTCAGTGTGTATGGACATACCTTGGTCAGCATGTATGGACATACCTTGGACAGCATGTATGAACATACCTTGGTCAGCGTGTATGGACATACCTTGGGCAGCATGTATGGACATACCTTGGTCAGCGTGTATGGACATACCTTGGGCAGCATGTATGGACATACCTTGGTCAGCATGTATGGACATACCTTGGTCAGCATGTATGGACATACCCTGATCAGTGTGTATGGAAATACCCTGGTCAGTGTGTATGGACATACCCTGGTCAGCGTGTATGGACATACCCTGGTCAGCATGTATGGACATACCTTGGTCAGTGTGTATGGACATACCTTGGTCAGCATGTATGGACATACCTTGGACAGCATGTATGAACATACCTTGGTCAGCGTGTATGGACATACCTTGGGCAGCATGTATGGACATACCTTGGTCAGCGTGTATGGACATACCTTGGGCAGCATGTATGGACATACCTTGGTCAGCATGTATGGACATACCTTGGTCAGCATGTATGGACATACCCTGATCAGTGTGTATGGAAATACCCTGGTCAGTGTGTATGGACATACCCTGGTCAGCGTGTATGGACATACCCTGGTCAGCATGTATGGACATACCTTGGTCAGCGTGTATGGACATACCCTGGTCAGCGTGTATGGACATACCCTGGTCAGTGTGTTTGGACATACCCTGGTCAGTGTGTATGGACATACCCTGGTCAGTGTGTATGGACATACCTTGTTCAGCATGTATGGACATACCTTGGTCAGTGTGTATGGACATACCTTGGTCAGCGTGTATGGACATACCCTGGTCAGTGTGTATGGACATTCCTTGGTCAGTGTATAGGTCATTTTGGTTCATCCAGTGAAGGTTTGAAGTATCCTGGCACAGCGTAAACTGGAGAATCAAATTTAGGCTTGAAGACTGGAGGCCAGCGTGTACAACACTTTGGTCTGTCTGGCACAAAGATGTTCAGCACGTTGTCTAGACATTGAAACCATGGTTGACACCACAGTCTGATCAGCTTGGTTCACAAACACCTACACAGTTTTTTTTTCTTCTTCAGTTCTGACGACATTTTGTTCTCTACGAGTTTCTGTGGCGGCAGATAACAAAGTTACAATCAGAACTACATGACTATGAAGCAGATAACAAAGTTACAATCAGAACTACATGACACTGAAGTCAGTTGCAGAAGTGCTACCCGACATCAAACATCTGTAACTTAGTAACTGTTGGGTGTAACTCAGTAACTGTTGGGTGTAACTCAGTAACTGTTGGGTGTAGCTCAGTAACTGTTGGGTGTAACTCAGTAACTGTTGGGTGTAACTCAGTAACTGTTGGGTGTAGCTCAGTAACTGTTGGATGTAGCTCAGTAACTGTTGGGTGTAACTTAGTAACTGTTGGGTGTAACTCAGTAACTGTTGGGTCAGTGACTGCTCGCATGCACGCTGTTAATAATCATATCAGTCTGAGAATTTGATTTTAGAAAATCTAATCAAACAATCAATTTTAATTTTGCGTTACTTTAAAAAAAAAAAAACGATTGAAATCAAATAATTAGCATGCTTACAGTGGTGAGTGACTGGAACATCAAACTGCAGGCGTTTCACTCAGAGGTGGTTATTTCCAACATTAGTCTCCCATGAGTTGCGGACTTTGTGTGCCCGATATGCTATCAAAATAAGTACCACATGCACCATAATCACCATTCGCAGTACATGCGAATTGATTACCAGACAACCTAGCCGGCTGCGTCAATTACTTTATTTCTATTTTTAGGAGCACACAAATTATAAATAAAACAAAGATCAAAGACGCTGGCTGCTTCCCTGAAACAGCAGCAAATGTGAAATATAAATTATTCAATGCTCAGGAGATGGGATATCTCAAGCCAAGTGCTAACATTCATTTTGATCCGTCGAAGAATTTTTGAGAAATTTCGTAAAATCTAAGCGCTTGAACTTTGATACGCACTGTAGTGTATTGTTCTTTTGTGTATACTTTTTTGGTTGGCCATATCCCGCGGTCTGGTATCCTGTGAAGAAGAAAGCTTTCATCAGCGAATCCTCACCACTGATTATACATAGCACAGTCTGCTTGCGAATCTTCACCACTGATTATACATAGCACAGTCTGCTTGCGAATCTTCACTACTGATTATACATAGCACAGTCTGCTTGCGAATCTTCACCACTGATTATACATAGCACAGTCTGCTTGCGAATCTTCACCACTGATTACACATAGCACAGTCTGCTTGCGAATCTTCACCACTGATTATACATAGCACAGTCTGCTTGCAAATCTTCACCACTGATTATACATAACACAGTCTGCTTGCAAATCTTCACCACTGATTATACATAGCACAGTCTGTTTGAAAAATGTCAGCATGACCAGTCAGCGAGTGCACCTGCATAACTGTCTCCAGTAGTATACACACGACTTTTGTCCATGGTTGTCCCCAGTGGTATACACACGACTTTTGTCCATGGTTGTCCCCAGTAGTATACACACGACTTTTGTCCATGGTTGTCCCCAGTGGTATACACACGACTATTGTCCATGGTTGTCTCTAGTAGTATACACACGACTTTTGTCCATGGTTGTCCCCAGTGGTAAACACACGACTATTGTCCATGGTTGTCTCCAGTGGTATAGACACAACTATTGTCCGTGGTTGCCTCCAGTGGTATAGACACGACTGTTGTCCATGGTTGTCTCCAGTAGTATAGACACAACTATTGTCCGTGGTTGTCTCCAGTAGTATAGACACAACTATTGTCCGTGGTTGCCTCCAGTAGTATAGACACAACTGTTGTCCATGGTTGTCTCCAGTAGTATAGACACAACTATTGTCCGTGGTTGTCTCCAGTGGTATAGACACAACTATTGTCCATGGTTGTCTCCAGTGGTATAGACACAACAGTTGTCCGTGGTTGTCTCCAGTAGTATAGACACAACTATTGTCCATGGTTGTCTCCAGTGGTATAGACACAACTATTGTCCATGGTTGTCTCCAGTAGTATAGACACAACTGTTGTCCATGGTTGTCTCCAGTAGTATAGACACAACTATTGTCCATGGTTGTCTCCAGTGGTATAGACACAACTGTTGTCCATGGTTGTCTCCAGTAGTATAGACACAACTATTGTCCGTGGTTGCCTCCAGTGGTATAGACACAACTATTGTCCATGGTTGTCTCCAGTAGTATAGACACAACTGTTGTCCATGGTTGTCTCCAGTAGTATAGACACAACTATTGTCCGTGGTTGTCTCCAGTGGTATAGACACAACTATTGTCCATGGTTGCCTCCAGTGGTATAGACACGACTGTTGTCCATGGTTGTCTCCAGTAGTATAGACACGACTTTTGTCCATGGTGGTCTCCAGTGGTATAGACACGACTGTTGTCCATGGTTGTCTCCAGTAGTATAGACACGACTGTTGTCCATGGTTGTCTCCAGTGGTATAGACACGACTGTTGTCCATGTTTGTCTCCAGTGGTATAGACACAACTATTGTCCGTGGTTGCCTCCAGTGGTATGCACACGATGGTTGTCCATGGTTGTCTCCAGTAGTATAGACACTACTGTTGTCCATGGTTGTCTCCAGTGGTATAGACACGACTGTTGTCCATGGTTGTCTCCAGTGGTATAGTAACGACTGTTGTCCATGGTTGTCTCCAGTGCTATAGACACGACTATTGTCCATAGTTGCTTCCAGTAGTATAGACACAACTATTGTCCATGGTTGTCTCCAGTGGTATAGACACAATAATTGTCCATGGTTGTCTCCAGTGGTATAGACACGACTATTGTCCGTGGTTGCCTCCAGTGGTATGCACACGATGGTTGTCCATGGTTGTCTCCAGTGGTATAGACACGACTATTGTCCATGGTTGTCTCCAGTGGTATAGACACGACTGTTGTCCATGGTTGTCTCCAGTGGTATAGACACGACTGTTGTCCATGGTTGTCTTTAGTGGTATAGACACAACTATTGTCCATGGTTGTCTCTAGTGGTACAGACACGACTGTTGTCCATGTTTGTCTACAATGGAATACACACGACTGGTAATCTGGTAATCTTAGTTTCAGCTTTTTAGCAAACGGGTCAACCCATAGTTGCTCCGCTCCTGTTTATCTCATTCTCTTGTTGAAAGATTGACAGACTGCTGTCTTATCATCTCTAGCACACACGCATTAAAAGCATACGGTAGCCATCCGAAGTTCTAACACTAACAGTCCGACATTAGAAATGCAATTCATCATGGATGGTAACAGAAGTCACCAACAGATCAGCAGTTGCACACAAGATCAATTTTAATCACATAAGGGCACCACCAATATTGCTACAGCAGACCACGTGCTATTTTCTACAATTTACAATTCACATCACCACGTTGTTCACAGTCGAAAAAACATTTTAAATAAAATCTGCAGCTCACAGTGTCCCGCCATGCACTGAACTAAGAAG